GGTCGGGATTCGAATGAATTCCTTAAGGGTGCTCTCTTGCAGCGGGAGCTTGTTGAGTACAGGGTGTTGCCTTGAAGACGGGGGCTGTTGACTACAGGGTGTTGTCTTGGAGACTGAAGCTGTTGAGTACAAAGTGGTGCGTGCTACGCGGACGGCGGGCGGGAGGCGGATGCCCTAGGTGGTGGGTCAGAGGCATCATGGGTGTTGGTTTGGATCTCGTGGTTGGCCTGTCGGGGACGTCGTGAAGGCAATTTCGCAGCTTCTCGGTAGCCGTTTTGGGACCGTTGTGGGGCCTCCTCGGGGCTGTTTTGTGGCCTCTTGAGGCCTCGTTTGGGCCTCCTGGGTGCCTCTCGGAGGCCTCCTGGGGCCTCTTGGGGGCTCCTTGGGGCCTCCTGGGGCACTCTTCCATCGGAAGGGTAGAATTTTGGAGTCGTGGTCCCCCTCTTGGGCGCATCTTGGGGCCGTCTTGGGGCTGTCTTGGGCTGTCTTGGGTGCCTCTGGGGCCGTCTGGGGGCCCTCTTGGGCCGTCTTGGGGCGCTCTTGGCTTGGAACGTCGGGCAGCCGAAAAGGCTGGAAGGCCAAAATCTCTCCAACAACCTTTGTAAAATTGACGATTTCGGCCACTTGAAGCGCTCTGGAGAGGCGTCTTGAAGCGTCGTGGAGTGCCTTGGGGGGGCCTCTCGGGCTGTCTTGGGCCTGCCTTGGGCGTCCCAAAGCGGTCTTTCGGAGACTCGGGGCCCGCTTGGGCCGTCTGGGGAGCCTCTGGAGGCCCTCCTGGACTATTTTGGACCTCCCCGGCCGCCCCGTCCTGCCATGGGGGGTCGGGGCACCTGTTTGTGGGCCCCAGGCCTGCCCCCAAGGTATGTATGTATGTATGTATGTATGTATGTATGTATGTATGTATGTATGTATGTATGTATGCATGCGCATGCATGTATGTATGTATGTATGTATGTGTGTATGTATGTATGTATGTATGTATGTATGTATGTATGTATGTATGTATGTATGTATGTATGTATGTAGATATGTATGTATGTATGTCTGTCTGGCTGTCTGTATGCATGTATGTATGTATGTATGTATGTATGGATATATGTATGTATGTGTGTACATGTATGTATGTATGTATGTATGTAGGTATGTATGTGTGTATGTATGTATGTATGTATGTAGGTAGGTAGGTAGGTAGGTAGATAGGTAAGTAGGTAGGTATATATGTATGTATGTATACATGTATGTTTGTATGTATAGATGTGTGCATGTATGTATGCATGTATGTATGTATGTATGGTTGTTTGTTTGTATGTATGTGTGTATGTATACATGCATGCATGTGCGTATGTATGTATGTATGTATGTATGTATGTGTATATATGTATGTATGTATGTATGTATGTATGTATGTATGTATGTATGTATGTATGTGTGTGTATGTGTGTATGCGTGTCTGTATATATGTGTGTATGCATGTGTTCAGGTATGTATGCATGCATGCATGCATGCATGCATGTAGGTATGAATGTATGACTGTATGAATGTATGAATGCATGAATGTATGTATGTATGTATGTATGTATGTATGTATGTATGCACGTGGATGCATGTATGTATATATGTATGGACGGATGGATGGATGGATGTATGCATGCATGGATGGATGTTTGTATGTGTGTGCATGTATACATGTAAATCGACATTTGTTCACATAGCTGTAGACGTATGCATACATGAACACAACTGTAAACATACATTTACTCATACACCTGTATATAAATATATACATGTGTATGCACATCTGTAGCGTACAAAAGGGTGAACCACACCCCCAAGCCTCAATCATGGCGAGGGCGAGGACCTAATATTTCGAAGATTTATTGTTGTTTGAAGCACACAGGCTACCGCGCCTCTTCGCGGAGGAACCCGTTGTACCCCCCTCCCCCCCACCCCCCCGACCCCCCACCCCCTTCACCCCTTCCACCTTCCCCCTCTTCCTCATCCTACCTTCTCCTTCCTCCTCCTGTCTCCTGATACCTTCTGCATCCTCTTGCCTGCTCCTGCCTCCTGCCTCTTCTGTCTACCTCCTTCTAGTCCTCCTCTACCTCCTCCAACATTCTCTCATTTCTTCGTGCACCCTCGCTTCCCAGGGCACGCGGCACACTGGTGACACGCTCGGATCACTGGTGCAACCGTTGCCTACCCCTGGCTTCGTACCTCCTGCTTCCTCCCTTGAGCGCCTTCTCCTTTTTCCTACCTCCTCATACTCTAGCACGTTTTATCTTCCTCCTGCCTGCCTTCCTCATGATCCTCCTCCGTGTCCGCATGCTCCTCTTGGTCCTCTTCCCTCTTCTCTCCTCCTCCCCCGTTGTTTTCTCCTCCTTCTTCTCCTCCTTCGAATGATCCGCTAATGCGGTTGCTGATTACTGCTGGGCGGGATGCTGTTACACATCCCTGATCGGGCAACTCGCCCGGTGACTGTTTTTGGATGGGGTTGCGGAGACACCAAGCGTGAGCGCGAAGCCGCTCCTGGAAGGCCAAGGTGCAACGGCGAGGAAGACCCGATGCGTGTACACCCCGCGGGTGACGGGTCGCCGCGTTGCTTCCACTCTGACAGGAACACGGCGGGCTGCCAGGACCGCCCGATGCCCATATTGGTTTCGTTTCCATTTCAGCGCCACCATCTGCAGCTCACGGTCAATCTGCTCCGAGGCGGGGGCTGGATAGCCTCGGCCAAGCGCATCCGCAGATGCTCCCAGAGGCGCGGCACGGTGGAGCAGTACTTCACCTGGTCGAGGTGCAGCCTGGCTTTGTCTAACTCCGTGACAGCCAAGCCGGTGTACATGCACGTCGCTATGATGCCGAATCTGCATGCAGCACTTCTACGTCAGAGAGAGGATCGCGGCTCGTCCCGGCCAGATGACGGCCCACCGATGCTCGGACTCGAACTGGACCAAGACGCTGTGCTGCACGATGACTCCGACACCCGCGCTGCCAGGAAGCGGGCCGGCTGACCCCTGGGTGCCAACGGGAAGCCGAAATGCCTTGTTCTCGCCATCCGTCCCATAAACCTCCGTGACAAGTAAAATATCGACCCACTCCAGTAGGTGAGTCGCACAAGCCGCCTACTGTAGCATGAACCAGCGCTCATCCGAGCAGAGGACAGGCTGGGCGTTCCAGGTCGCAGCGCTGAACTCCCCCCAATACTCGACCAGCCTGAACGTCGCCGCAGCTGGCGGAAAGGCCTGCGGGCGCGCAGCCGCCGGGAGGGCAAGCGTCCCGTAGCAGCCGCATTCGCCGACAGTGCGCGATCGGCAGGTACACGCAGCAGGGCGTTCAGAGGGAAGGATTTCCTCCTCGCCAAAAGCCAGCGTTGACAGCGGAAGCACCAGCATGTCGCTTGAAAAAGCGTGGCCCGAACATCGAACACTTGAACTCTGAGAAATCTGCGAACCCATTAAAGTCTGAGAGCGGGAGGGAACAGAGGAAGAGCAGAAGCAGCCCGCTGACGGCGCCAGCTCCGAATGGCAAATCGCTGGTGATGACTGCTCGACGCTGGAAGCACAGCGAGAAAAAATACGACCCCCTCGATGGGGAAGCCCAGGGCACCGTCAGCATATTCCACCACGCATGCTTCCTGAGCATCCCATGGGCGCACGCACTCGTGGGTTACTCAGGCCCGTCTCCATTGTCCGTTTCACGGAACTCCGCGGCTCTCCACCAGATCGCTGCAGACCATCATCCCGAACGTGTCCTGGCCCACCTACACCGCCTTCACCGTCTCCACTGGCTAGCTAGTAAGATGTGTCCGCCGCGGTGCCGCGAGAAAATACATGAAGCATCATCAGGCCACTTGGAACTCTGAATTGAAATCTGTAGAGACTCCTGAAGCCCCCGACCCCCAACTAACGGACCTTCCAGGTTTTCGCGCGGGACTTTTCCCGAAGCCTTCGGAGCGTGGTCGGGGGTCCACACTTCCTGTGCGTCCTAAGACCCCACGGGGGCATCGTGGAGCTCTCTTCGGGGCCTCTTAGGCCGCCTGGGGTGGAGACCTGTCCTAGAGGTCAGCATCACTGACAAATCGTGGGTTGTAGCATGTCTGTTATCAAGCTCGCCTTTTCAATCCTAGAAGTCTCTAAGATGCCCCTGGGAGGGCCTCAAAGGGCCCCAAATGTCCCCAAGAGGGGCCAAAGCGGGGAGCTCGAATTCGATTCCTGGATCCTGCCCCCAGGATGGCCTCGATACCGCCTCCGAGCCCCCAGGGGGCCCCCACGAGAGCCCCAGAGGCTCCCAAGAAGATCCCAGGAAGCCCCCAAGAGGCCTCCAAGCGGCCGCATGCGCCTTCCAATAGACCCCAAGAGGCTTCTTGCCCACGACCCACGCAGTGTGGCCTGCTGGGCCGAAGGTCACTACATTCGCCGCGTACGTGCGTTCTCGGGTTTCGTACGTGCGTTCTCGGGTTTGCGACAGCCCATGGCAGCCCCAGAGGCCTGCAACATAGCCCCCAAGACGGGCCAAGGAGCCCGCAAAAGGCCAGAAGACGGTCCAGGAGGGCCTCGGGAACCCAAGCATCCTCAAATACGGCACCAAGAAGGCCCCAGGACAGCCCAACAGACCTCCAAGACGGCCCACAGAGTTCCCCAAGAAAGCCTCCGAAGGCGTCAGACGGGCCAAGAGAGCCCCAGGACGGCCCAGTAGGCCTCCGGCACGCCTCCAAGACGCCTCGGGAGATCCTCAGACTAGAAGACCCCCCTTTCTGACTCTGCGGCGCGCAACGAGTGACCCCTGGCAAGGGTGACCTTTGGTGCGCGGCTTGCCGATCGTTGCAAGCGATGCGACCGTAGCGGCCAGCGTGTATGCGCTTGCCCCCCCCCCCTCCCCCCCACTCCACCCGTGGGCCCCCGAGAGCCGCGCACCAGAGGTCAGTCCAGCGAAGGGCCACTCCCAGACGCGACTGGCCGACGCCGGCAATCGACTTCCTCCCTCCCCTGCGCCGCGCGCTCCTCCGGGCCGCGCAGCGGCTCGGGCACCTGGATGCCCTTGCCGCCGGGCATCTCCACGCGGATGCCGAGGGCCTCTGGCGCGGCGCAGCGTCCGCCGCGTGCCGCGGGGCTGCCGAGCCGCGGGCTCGGCCTGAGAATTGCGAGGCCAGGGAGGGGGGCCCTCTCAAGAACTCTGGGGCCCGATCAAGATCTCAGAGATCTGGAGGGGGGTCAAGAGATTCAAGATCGTAAATTAAAGGTTTGAGCAGGCATCAAAGCAGCTTGGAATCTTGAAAGCTTGAACATCGAACGATATCTCAATGCTCGACATTGTAAATAAGGATGATATCCAACACAATGAGGAGGCTGGACAACACAGAGAGAGCGAGAGACCAACGACGTTTAATGGAAGAAGGCTTGGAGACCACCAGAGAAAGAGATCCATGCATCTACATGGGCATCCTGGATTTCTGCGTTTCGCTGGTGGAGTAGCCTCTTGAGCACGGCTTTCGGGGGCATTATTTCCGAGCGTTCGACACAGGCCCGGGTGGGCTCATCTTCACGCAGGACCCTCCACGCTTCGCTCGTCGTGCGAGAATCCCACAATGCGACAATTCCTCGAGAACCAGATCTCGGAATCATCGACCTCCAGTGAGGTCTTTCTCGTGACGCCCGAGGACCGGGTGTGCGCGCCGGCCGCGGCGGCGGCCGCGGCGGCGTAACGTTAAGGCAGAGCTCCACGTACAGGGGGTGGGGCCTGCGATTCACGCTAGACTGAGGGAATGCAATAGTACCGCTGGAAGACAAACACTTTAAGGAACATGTTGGGAAGGCTCGGAGTGACATGAGAACCATGGGAGGGTAGACTGGCCAGCAGGCTCACTGGCTTGCTGGCTGACAGACAGACTGGCACTCTAGGATTGGACCGAGCCAGGCCGTGAGTGACGGACGGATTGGACCGAACCAGACCAGACGAGACTGAAATGGCGAAATGGCCCAGCCAAGTCGGGAATGGACTAACTGGACTGACCGACTGACTGGCATACTGGACGGATGGACTGGAGTTAACTAAGCTGGAGCACGCTGGACTGAACTGGACCAGGCCAGACTCGCCCGGCTGAGTTCAACTGGACTGACGCATTGACTGGACTCACTGAGCAACTGGACTTGGCTTGATTGGACTGGACTGGACTGGACTAACTATTTGACTGACTGACTGACTGACTGACTGACTGACTGACTGACTGACTGACTGACTGGGCTAAATGTCTGACTGACTGGTTTAGGCCAGACTGGACAGGCCGATGAACTGGACTGGACTGACTGATGTGGGCCCTGAGAGCCCACGAACTCCCTGACATCCACCTTGATGACGATCTGGGAGAGTCTACTTCGAACCCTTCGAGCTAAAGCAAAGGGTAGCCGATTCGGCTGGTGAGAAATGGGAGGGCTTTGCAGGGTCTGCAGGCACGACGGCCTCATGACCCCCCAAGTGGGGCGACCGACGCCGACGGATAGTCGACATCATTTTCTCGACAGCCCCCTTTTCATCACCATCTCGGGAGCGCCCTCCTCCCCCTCCCAGGCCTTCCAGAAAGACCGAGATGGAGAGACGAATGGGATGGAGAGGGCGAGGTCGGGGGAACGACGAGGAAAATGGTACAGACTGGGAAGGAGGGGAATGGAGGAGGGACAACAGGAAGAAACAATGGAAGGCAGCTAGAGCAAGTTGGAGCAGAGGATTGGGCGCTGCGCTCGCAGAAGGGAAAGCCAAGAAGCGGGAGAAAGATGAGGCCAACCCGACTCGTGCAGCAATGCGCGGATGTGGGCCTCCGGAACGACAAGGATGTCCGAGAAGAGGATGGCAGCATCCACGGGATACCGTCTCAGCGGCTGCATGGTCACCTTCGCTGGGTCGAGTCTATCAGATGTTGGACAAGCGCGCTTGGCAATTGACGTGCGAAGCAGCCCCTCGTTGCCACATGGGGCCATTCAGGACGGAGGCGCGGAGCTCAGACCCTGCGATTCTTTGGCGTGCCAGGGCCTCTGCTGCCATGGGGGGGTCGATGAGTGGGTGGGAAGCAAGGTGGACGCCGTAGTCGCCCAGCAGGCACGGCGCGTCATCACGGGGATACTCAACTGCACCCCGGCTCGGGAAGCCAAGGACAAACCCCCTGAGAGTCTTCGGCGTATTAGAGCTTCTCTGGACTCCCCCTGCCATGCGGATCGACGACTTTGGGGGTCAGGGAGAATACCCGCTGTGCTGCAGCGGAACAGGCACGACACATCGTAAAAAGGAGCTTCACCTCTACCACTACCACCCTGTGGGTCTTCAGCCTATCGGGCCACTCCCTCTTGCTATGGTGATCGACGTCGCTGGGAGAACGGCGAATCTGCTCAGCACGAGTGACCCACTCCTGTGACTCGCTCTAGCTGCGGAGGATGCTCCCCGCGAGCCTTCGGCTTGTCGGGGACCCTTCCCTGTCGTGGGGGTCCGCGGAGGGGGGGGGGGGGGGGGGCAGCAGCACGCCGTGGCTGCCTGGCAAAGGCGGCCCCTCGTCGCGAAAGACTTCTCCATGCCCTGGGGCACAACCTCTGCGAGACTTCGACGTCGTGGAAACACCTGCTGCCATGGGAGTCGACGTGGGGAGAACGCCGTGGCTGCCCCTGGTCACGAGGAGCGTCGCCTGTACCTCGTGTCGGTTGTGGTGGGGCCAGGCCCCTTCGAGCACCCGGGACATCGGGCCTCTTCTCGCCGAACGGGGGGGGGGTCGACGAGTCAGGGAGGGCCACGTGGACGTCGTGACTGACTAGCAAGCATCGGCCAGACGCAAGAACAGCCCTAGGCGCGGCCACTGCGCGATCAACGCATGCGGTGCGACAGTAGCGGATTGCGTGCTTAGGTCTGCCCCCTTCCCCCTATGCCCTGTGCCCGCCGAAAGCCGCCCACCACAGATACGAGTAGCCAGAATAAAGGCCCATAGTCACGGATAGCCTCTCCAGTGCCCCGTCTCGGGCCGTGCGCTGAACCGCTGGCTGCGGCCAACTGAGCTGCTCAGCTGCAAACTCCCAGAGCTGGGCTTCGTGGCTAAAGCGCGCCAGCGCACGGGGGACCACCCCGCTGGACATTGGCACATGGAGCGTATAGGACCGCCAACTTCTCAATTCGGAAAAGGCCCGTTCCGCAATTGAGCGAATCTGCATTTTTTGATTCACAAGCCTGCTCCCTGGGCACAAGAGCGGCAAGCTCGACAGCTCAGGCAGACGAACATGTCCGGAGTGAGCATGCGATGCGACATCCAGTCGCGCTGCACATCGTGCTTACCATTTTCCAACACCGCTCAGAGGGTTTTAGGCTGTACACTTCCTCTGAGCAGTCAGACCCTTGGCTGTTTGAATCCTAAGGGGCACAAAAAGCTTGCCTGGGGACGCAAACAGAACACGATCTGGATGTGCGCACAGCTAAGTGTGTTAGCGTGGACCAATCCTCAACACCGGGGCGGCTTGCGGAGCATCGAGCTCCAATCAGATCCCCTACGCACGCTTCCCTTCACACCTGAGATGCAAATAAGGAACTGAAAGCAATGCGCAAAACTGTGTTGAGCAGAAAAAGCGGTAGATCGCTATCACCGCGTATTTTGAGTCTTTCAAAAATGACACGGGGAATCTCTGTTGAGATAAATTAACCCATCAGGGCGATACGGCAACGCGCGCGCGTTGAACATTTTGCGCGAATCCGCGCGTGCCAAAAATCGTCGGGCGGAAGGAAAGGTGGCCGCGCATGGCGCAGACCAAATTGGCAAACGGCCGACAGAGCCGGCCCGCCGGGAGATTGAGAGGGCACCGGGCGCTGCGCTTCTCGGGCCCCTGTTCGGAGTCAAAGGCTGTGCACTTGGTGTGTGGTTGAGGACGGGAGGACTGCAGGGGTTGCGCTGGACGCGGCTGAACGCCAGATGGCAGCAGGAAAGCTCGGCCCGAAGATACAAGCCAATCGTGCGCCAGAGTGCGCACAATTAAGTAAGGTTTTCGTGGCTCGCCCTGGACGCGGTCAGACGCTGGCCACGCAGCTCGGCACTCTGCCAACTCACCCCTGTCGCGGCTCCCGGCGGCTCCCTACTGGGTGGTACGACCGGCCACGCGACCTCAGAGCAGACCCGAGCGCTGCTGAGGGCGACCCTGGCGGCGGGGCAGGCGGCGCTACGGGCCCGCGCACCCCGCGGCGCAGCTCCCTGGAGACGGCGCCCGCCCAGCTCCTGGTCCTGGGGCTGCCAGCGGCGCCTTCGCCCTCGGCGCCTTGCGCTGCCGGCGCCGCGACCGCCGCTGGCCCGAGGCCGTCGCGCTCGGCGAGGCGCGGGCGCCGCTGCCTCACGCCCGCCTCCCAGGGCGAGCACGGCTGTCGCCGGGAGGCAGCCGCCTTCTGCTCCCAGAATGCCTCCGACCGGAGTCGCCTGAGCGGGGCCACCGCCGGGGCGGCCCGTCCCCGAAGGACACCGCCTCGAGCAGCGCCGTCTCGAGGAACGCCGGCTCATCGCCGTCCCTCGGCAGCGCGGTGGCGCCCCAGCTCTCCTTGTGCGCGTCGGCGTCCTGGTCGTCGCTGAAGGCGAGCAGCTCTGACGTTGGGCATCGCGTGGGGGCCGAGCTGAGCCAGTTCGTCTCGGGACGCACCGCCTTACACTTCCACTGCTCGGTGAGATTCGCTTCAACTTCTTGGAACATCGCGCGCGGGCTGAGCATGGCTGGTGGGATACTGGCTGGTCGGCGATCACACAAACACTGCTGAATTCGAGATCGCCACTGCCCCAAAGGTGGCTTGAGCCAAAATTAAATGGCTACGGAGAGCGAATCTGCATTTGTGTTGAACGGGCCCTCGCGGATTCGAAAACAGGCGCCACCCCAAAGCACTTGTTTCAGAACAATCGCTGAACATCGCTGGAAACTTCTGAGGCGCCGTGACTGCAGCCAGCCGCCACGAGAGTGCCGCCGGACATCCCTGGCCCATGAGAGGGCAGGGGAGGACGGAGCACAAAAGCAAGGTCAGCGAGATCGGACAGACGCGCTGGAGATGGGGACACGATACGATACGAACACCCTGAACGCCATGGTGCCTGATTGTCCGGTAAGTGCTGTACCTCCTCGCTCTCTCAAAATCGCGCAGCTGCGGGCCCTTCAGACTGAAAGACAGACGGGAGGCAATGCCGCGGTGAACCTGCGCTCTCGAAAGAAAGTGCCAATCCCATGCTCGGGAGAGGGGAGCTGGGGGGGGGGGGGAGGATGGGGCGGATGGGGCAGATGGGGAGGAGGGCGCCACCCTCTCGCAGGAGAGGCGGCCCGAGGGCCCATGGCCGAAGCTCCCCGCCGCGCGGCGCCCGTGCTGGGCGCCACCTCCGCGGGCGCGCGCGCGCGCCCGCGGCCGCCGCAGGAGGGGCCCCAGGGGCGGCGCCTCTGCCACGTCGGCCGGGTCCTGCAGCAGCTCCAGGAAATTCTTGCCGCGCTGCTCCTCCACACCAGCCGGCGACGGAGGGCAGCCGGCCGGCCACCGGGAGACGGACTCAGGCAGGAGGGGGAGGAGGAGGGGAAGGGGAAAAACGACGGGCTGCGCAGAAGCATTCTCCTGGCGCTGGGTTCGAAAGTTCGGAAACGAGGAAGGAGGAAGAGGAAGGGGGGATCCGCCACCGCTCTCGCACCTGTGGAGCGTTCGAGTGCCAAGTCGTTGTCCAGAATGGCTTCTCTAGTTTTGCAACGACCTCCTCTGGGCGCAGGCACAGATTGAAAGTCATCCCCCTGGATTTGCCATCTGGCGCCCTTCTCAGCATCTAGACGCTTCCAGTGGCCAGAGGTCGCCCCAGCATGGTTGCAGTACATCCCCAGAGCAACCCAATTTAGCCCAATGAGCCCCCAAAGGCTCCGAGGTGCCCCAAGAGGTTCCACAGTGTCTCAGAAAGCATCGAAGAGACACCCAACAGCAAGCTCAGGCCAGGCCCGAAGAGGACAACATCGGCTCCGTATGCCCTCTAGAAGGCTTCAGAGAAGTTGACGAAGCCCCAACCATGGCCCACATGACCCACATGACGGCCATACATATACCCAAGGCAGCCCTAGGTTGGACCGAGAAGTCAACATATTAGCCAAGACTGCCCCAAGAAGACCTCTAAACGGCCCAAAGACCCATCCAAACGGCTCCAATCTGGTTCCACCGAGACGCTTCGGGAGAGCTCGGTAGAACCACGCCGACCAAGACAGTCCTGAGGCACCCGAAAGGCCGCAAACAGGCTCACGTAAAGAAGCTAACCAAAAGATCTCACACCTTCCCCCCTCCCCGACTTGGACTGCAATGACGCTTTGCCTGGTGCACTCTGTCGGCCTAGCTTCTACTCAGCAGCGGTTTGCTTGCAACGCCAATGCTTCTGAATCCAAGTCCTTATCCTCTGTCTTCCTACTTCTTTCTCCCTCCACCTCCTTCTTCTGCTCCTCCTCTACTTATCCTGCTGATACTGCGATGCGGCAGGAGTTTCCTGATGGAACCACGCTTGCTGGACAAATATTCGCAAGATACTCCATCCCAAGGACAAGGGGGTCGCCCTGCTGTCTGACACTTCCAGTAGGCCTTACGCATGCAGCGCAACGGTCGTGTCCAAATTATCTGGGCGAAGGACCCAACCATATGCAATTATGAATACTGCAGTGTGTGTGTACCGCGTTTGGGGGATCTCCCTCTGGGGCCACGAAATGTGTGAGGGGTGTGCCGGATTGGGTGCGGTGGTGCCATGCGAACGCAACCGCTGCGGCCTTCGGTGAAGCTCCCTAGACCCTAGCGGGCCACGCGAAAGTTGTGAGACGTGCACCGGGCAGTGCCATGCGAACCCAGCCGCTGGTTCCTTCGGTGGAACCCCGTATGGGCCACGAACCGCGTGGGGGGTGTTCCGAAATGGGCCGGGGGGGGATGCGAGCTGCACCCCGGAAGCACTCCGTGGAACTCTAACCTTTGGGGCCACGAAACGTATGACGGGTGTCCCGAAATGGGTCGGGCGGGCGCATGCGAACTGCGCCACGGAAGCACTCGGTGGAGCTCCCTCCGTGGCCACGACGCGCGTGCACCGACATGGGTCGGGGATGGAATTCCCGATGGGACGACGAGCCGGGTGAAGGATGTATCGACATGGGCTGGGCGGCCGCATGCGAGATTCGCCACGGAGGCACTCGGTGGAGCTCTCACAGGGCGACGAAACGTGTGAGGGGGGGGTGCAACAGGTCGGGCAGACGTATGCGAACTGCGCCACGGACGAACTCGGTTGAGTCCCGTATGGGGCCACGAAGCGTATGAGGGGTGTGCCGACATGGGCCGAAGCGTGCCGGGTCGTTCGGACGCATGCGCACTTCGCCAAGGAAGCACTCGGTGGAGCTCCCTACATTGCCGCGTCGAAAGTTCTTTGATTTCTCGTGAGTGCGCCCACACGACCTCGCCGCGACGACAACCCTGAGATGGGGCGGCGGTTCAGGCGGCATTGGCCCCCTCCTACCGCCCTAGAAGCCTAGCAGGACACTTGTCTAGCGTGGTCTGGCCGAGATCCCGCTCCCCTGATGCAACCTAATAATGTCATTTTCCATGTAAGGAACAAACGACCCCATCAATGAAACATGTAATTCCCATAACACGGGGCGTGATGCAAATCCCGGAGCTTGATTTCGAATTGGCCTTGTCTTGGAGTCAGATTCAGAGAGCGTCGCTTGCGCGTTTCCCGGGGAACTTCTGCTGCGGCCAAATCTGGGGCCACGAAACGTGTGAAGGGGTGTGCCGACATGGGTCGGCAGGACGCATGCGAACTGCGACGGGGCCACGAAACGTGTGAAGGGGTGTGCCGACATGGGTCGGGCGGACGCATGCGAACTGCGCCACGGAAGCACTCGGTGGAGCCACGACAAGTACGAGGTGTTCGCCCAAATGAGCGACATAAATGCGTGCCAACGGCCACACTCACAACTCGGAGGGGGAGGAGGAGGAAGTGAGGAGGAGGAGGAGGAGGAGCAGCAGGAGGATGCAGGAGGATGCGGGAGGAGGATGCAGGAGTTGGAGGAGGAGGAGGGAGCAAGGGGAGGAGGAGAGGAGGACGAGGAGGAGGAGGACGACGACGAGGGGCACTGCCTCTTCAAAGCGAGGACCCAACACCACAGGATGGTTGGACAAGAAGCCTGCTGCTGCTCCTCATCCTGCCTGGCGGCAGCACCGAGGTCAAACTCGCTATGGCTAGAGCGAGCTCGCCCTTCGCCCTCGGTGCATCCCCAGGCTTCCGCTCCGGGTCGAAGGCCCGTGAGCAGAGGCACCGCGCCTGAGCAGGGGTACCAGAGCAAACACGCCCGAACACGCCTGAGAGCGAAAAGCCCAGCCCCGGAGAAATCCCTGTGGCCTGCGACGTCTCGACCCTGACCACCTTCCCTCATGTCATGAGTCGGTGGCGCGCCCGGGGGGAAGTCAGGGGGGGCAGCCTTGCCAGAAGCCGCGGACGGCTTCAAGGCTTCTGACAAACGCCGCCGCCTTCTGACAAGGCCGGCCTCCTCTGCCTTCCCCCCTGGGCGCTCCGCCGAACAAGGGGTGGCCTGAAAGGTCGTAGGGTCCACCATCGCAGGAGATCCGCTGGAGAGATGAGCGGCTGGGCAGTCCTGCCCGCTGTGAGGACCTGACGACCCTTTGGGTGCCCGTCTCCCTCTGCGGGGCGGTTCCTTGTAGTCCATGTACTCGGGCAGGTGCCTCCCAGCCTGCCTGAACACCCACACGGGCACCTGCGCGAGCGCTGATTCGGGAGAGGGGATCTCGTTCTACCCCGCGCAGCTCCCGTCAACGAAAACGCAAGATATGATGTCGCACTTAGCTGTTCTGCATTATTGGCGAACCTTTACTGGTGCAAGTGAGCTGAGTGGATCGGCGTTGAATGGGCGCGTGGAGGTTGATGGGGAATGGAGGGGGGGGACAGGCGGTGGCTGGAGAGAGGAAGCAGAAAGGTGGGGGGGCGGACAGCAGCGAAGCGGAGACCGACGAGGCACCCGCACACGCAAGACAAACCAAACCCTGGGCTCTTTCCCTGTCCTCTTCCTCCAAAACACTATTTTCTCCACCATCCCTCCTCCTCCTCCTCCTCCTCCTCCTCATCCCGCCCCCTCCCTAATCACCCTCTTCCCCCTTCCCCTGATCACCTCTGCCTTACCTATGCCTCATCCTCCCCCTCGTAACCCCCCGCCCTCAAGAACCGCTCCTCGCTCCTCCACCTCTTCCACCTCCTCCTCCTGCTCCTTCTCCTTCTCCTCCCTCCCCCTGCACTCCTGAATGCATTATCCTCCCTTCGGTACTGCATTATCTCTCCTCACACCTCCTTCCTTCCCCTCATAATCCTCCTTATCTCACACTCCATCATTGACTACATACTGCGACTCAACACCGTCGCCATCATCATCATCATCATCATCATCATCATCATCATCATCATCATCATCATCATCATCATCATCATCATCATCATCATCACCATCATCAGCATCATCATCATCATCACCATCACCACCATCATCATCATCATCAGCATCACCATCACCATCACCATCATCATCATCATCATCATCATCATCATCATCATCATGATCATCCTCATCCTCATCCTCATCATCATCATCATCATCCTCATCATCATCATCATCCACATCAACATCATCGCCATCATCATCATACTCATAATCAGAATCATCATCATCATCATCGTCGTCATCATCGGCGCAATCATCATCAACAGCATCATCATCCGCATCATCATCATCATCATCATCATCATCATCATCGTCATCATCGTCACCATCATCATCATGATCAGCATAAACATCATACATACCAGCACGAACAACACCATCATGATCCGCATCATCAGCAACGTCAACATCACCATTGTCAACAACCTCACCATCACCAACATCGCCATTAACACCAACGTCATCATCGTCATCATCACCATCACCGTGACCTTCATTATCATCATCAGCATCATCATCATCATCTTCATCATCATCATCATCATTATCAGCATCAGCATCATCATCACCCTCATCACCAACATCGTCATCTCCATCATCTCCCCTATCATCATCATCATCACCATCAGCATCATCATGATCACCACCACCATCACCATCATCACCATCAGCATCATTAACATCAACGTCATCATCATCATCATCAACATCATAATCATCCTCACCAGCAGCACCATCACCATCAATATCAACACCATCATCATCAACATCATCATCATCAACATCAACATCATCATCATCATCATCCTCCTCCTCCTCATCATCATCATCATCATCATCATCATCATCATCATCATCATCATCCGCGTTTTCTTCCTCTCTTGTGCTCCCCCGTATCTCTCAAGTTACTACTATCTCTTTGTGTCCCCACACAAAGAGAGCAAGTGGTGTGCCAAGGCGCTTCCTGGACCAGCTCGCCGCTTCAAATACGTTGCTCGCATAATTTGGCGCACGCGCATAAAAGTTGCACCGATGATGAATATTGGCCGCTCTGTTGGGGCCTCTCGGGGCCGTTGGGGTGGACATTGGGAAACATGTGGGGCACATTAGGGCCTTCTGGAGGCCATCGTGAGGCCTGGATCTTACGATTACCTTCCAAGCGGAATTGTCTGGGAGTTCTCTCGGAATTCCCTGCGGGGAGGGGCACGAGCCGCTGCTTGAGACCACATTCACTCACGCGGGGGAGGGGGGGCAGGATAACGCAAGTTACATAAAGTTATTCCAAAATAAGCTGTACTAATAGGCGCAGAGATGTAGGCAGTGCTCATGGCAGTGACGATGACTGCGCTGGTGGCGACAGCAACGATCGCAATGGTTCACATTTTGGGACTGGAATGTCTGTCGGCTGCACGAGCGGGCCATCCCTCGTGGCGATGGTGATCCACCTGGGCTGGCCCGGGGCAATCAGGGACGGCGAGAGGGGAGGGGGGAAGAGAATGGGAGGGGGAGGGGGGAGAGGCAACACTCATGCTATAATGTCAGAACCCGCGAGAAACGTCTAGTGCACCCGAGCTCGTGCTGATCCGGGGGAATAAGAGGCCTCCAGATTCCAAGCTTCGACGACGGATTTGGATGGACCAACGGCGGGCAGCATTCGCCGAAGCAGCAGGGTGCCAACCGTATGCCATGCCCTGGGAAGCACTGGATTGTAGAGCGGGCTCACCAATCTCATTCTCTCCTCTACAGGTTCCAAAGCCAGTAACTAGTCTGGCGCGCCAGTTGCGTCGATCGCGGCACGCAACGTACAATTAATCTCAAGAAACCCTGCTTGATCCCTCAATGAGGCATGTCGTGAAGTACCAAATTGTACAGAGGACTCCAAAGGACTCTCAAGCATCTCAAGGCGGGGTTGGACACCACCAAAAAACTGTGGGCAAGGCGTCCCGTCCCGACCGCCTGAGCTGGGTCTGGTTTTTTGCTGGTATCTTGTTGCGTTCAGTTTCGCATCCTGGGACTTTCTGCGTCAGAGGCTGCGGGGCTCCGAGCAGGGAGGGAGAGGAAGGGGAAGAGTACGAAGAACACTTTCGACCTCCCTCTTTCCCCTCCCCCGCCTTCCCGATCCTGGCTCCCAAGACGCCCACGGATGACCCTCAGAAGCTCTCAGAAGACATCCGAAGAGACTCCGAGAGGCATCCAAGAGGCCTCTGGTCTTCCTGCTCGCCCTCCTCCTCCTCCTCCTCCTCCTCCTCCTCCTCCTCCCCCTCCTCTTTTTTACCTTAGACCAACCTGAGCAAGAAGCTGTGGCGTTTGGCCTTCTCCTCCTCGTCCTCCTCCTCCTCTTCCTCGTCCGCCTATTCCTCCTCCTCCTCCCTCCTCCCTCCTCCCCCTCCTCCTCCTTCTCCTTGTCCTTCGCCTCCTCCTCCTCCTCCTCCTCCTCCTCCATCCTCCCTCTCTGGGAGTATGTAATCTGCCCATCCCAATGCACCCCCTAGAGCCCCTCCGTTCGACGCGCGCCGGCCACCCCTCATCGGGGCCGTCGCCAGACACCTTCACGTAGCGAAGCCGGCTGCCAGCCACAGTCAAGCATTCCAGCCTGGCGTCCCATGCCAGGCGGGCGCCGAGCGGCGGCGACGAAGTACTGCAGGAACCACGCACAATAATGCCCCCCTTGCACGTGGAGCGAGGCGGGGGAGGAAGCATGCAGGCAGGCAGGCAACCACGGAGCGGGTGGCTTGCTCGTCCTGCGATGTGCAGCACAATCGGTACGCGAGCGGGACGCAGGCATGACTTGCATCCGCGTGGTGAAAGCGCTCGAACCCACCCGTGCGGTCCCAGGTAAGAGAAAGGGCGGGCTGGAGTGAGAAGCAGGACGGGAGCAGCCAGGTGTGTCGGGGGGCCGGGGACGAAGAGACATGAAGGGGGCGATACGAAACGGAGGAGAGGGGGCACGCACAGCCTTGACCCCCTTGCACGGGAAGCGAGGCTGGTAAGGCAGGCAGTCACGCAGTGGGACAGGAGGGAGAGACGCGTGATCAGGTGTGGAAGCAGGGATAAGAAGAAGGAATGGAGGTGGAGTTGATTTTCAGGGTTTCACCCGTCACGTAGTGATAGTAATTAGGCGTGCTCAGCTTCTGCCCTTGCACTTGGGCCCACAATTCCTCGAGATTCTGTCAAAGTAATCTCGACGGGTCCTGGAGATAGAGGGTGGGCACGGCTGGCCAAGTCCCCTGAGCTGGGACTGACCGAAACAGCCGCATGAGCCACAACACCATATCCCAAAGCTGTGGTGATACAATGCAACGTGTGGGGCCAACCTCCTGCTACGTGTAAACGTCGTCCACGGGGAACTCGGGATAACCCACAATCAATGTTTTGAAGTTGGGACCGCTCACTGTTTCATCATTCGGATATGGTCGCCTTAGTCGCCGAGCCTTAACACACGGTGCACGATTCTCCCCCACGCACTTTCGTCCAGGGCGTGAGCGGACGCGAAGCGTGCAACAGCTATAGGAGGAGAAGAAAGAGACGCCCTGGGAGCCACGACCTCAGGGCTGACACGGTCCTGGGCTTGAGTGGCACGGATCGAATCCATGCCACGACGGGGAGAAGATGGAGAGGGGGACAGACGTGGAGGGGGAGGGAGAGAGGGAAGGTGAGGAGGAAGCAAATGAGGGGGGGGGGAAGGAGGGAACGCACGGAGTCGAGGAGGCAGCGGGAAAGGGGCACACCGAGGGTAGATCATGCAGGGGGGGTGCGCGTAATGCAGGGACGAGTGGAAGGGGAAAGCACGGAACGCTGACAGGGGATGGTGGGACATGAGGGAGGTAGAAAGACAGAGTGCAGGAGGGAGGTGAGGTCTTGGGTAGGGCAAGGAGAAAGAAGGGAGAGGAGAAGAGGGTCATAAGGCGAGATGTAATGGATGACGAAGGGAAAACATAGACATATAAGTTAGCCAGCGTGGACCCCAAACAGTGGCGCCTTGCAATATATGGCGTGCAATCTAAGTTGTGCAGTCAGGGTGGTGCACTCTAGGTGGTGCAATCTATGTGGCGCAAATCAATGCACACCAACTCTTTGTAACCTAAAGCAGCGCAAAGTAATGCACACTGCAAAGCAATACAAAAGGTAAATCAGCGCAAAGCGATGCAAAGAAATGCAGAGCAACGCAAAACAACGCAAGTCAATACAAAGCATAGCATTGCAAGGCAAAGTAATCCAACGCAATACAAAGTGATGCGAAGCAGTGCACAGCAATATATTGCAATGCGCAGCAATGCAAACTAATGAAATGCGATGATAAATGATACGAGGTCACGCAGATCAATGCAAAGCAATGCAACGCAATGAACACCAATGCAACTTAATGCAAAGCAATGCAAAGCAATGCAAAGCAATGCAATGCAAAGCAATGCAAAGCAACGCGTTACGATGCAACAGTGTGTCAAGCAATGCGAAGCAATGCAATGCAGTGCAAAGCAGTGCAACGCCATGCAGAGCAATGCAAAGTGCGTGCCTCGCCCACTCAAAATCGTGACCAAAGACGGCGGCTACGGGAGGCTAGGACGGCCACAAACCGGTCAGACCGACCACAAAGCCCAAGCACCGCGGCGACGGGCGGCGACGTCAAAGCCCCGTAAGCCTGGACACGCTAGACCGGGACATCCAACATCCCTCGAAACTACGTGGTGCTACGAAAAGACTGCACCTCAACAGTCCTGGATTTAACCCAAACGCGGTTCGAAAAAGCCGGCACCCCCCCCTGCTAGACCCGGACAAAGACCCTAATCCTAAAGCGCAGCAGAGAATTGCCCTGGAATGCCAACTCTGACTTTGTAAGGAAGGGTGTCGTTTCCTCGACTTGCCGATGTCCTGGCTAGTCTGTAGCGAGCGTGGACTTCCGGGGCTCGACGATGGGCGGCAACAAGCGGGCCGAACAGACATCCAGGCCCAGTTCCTTCGAAGAGAAGTGAGATTCCCCAAGTGCAAACACTGTTTGGGTAACATAGGACCAAATGGTCATTCACTGTTCCTGGGTGCGTGGTTGAAGTGGGATTCGGAGGAGCGGATTGTTGTTGTTGTCGTTGTCGTTGTCGTCGTCGTCGTCGTCGTCGTCGTCGTTGTTGTTGTTGTTGAACATTATTACTTCTAAAGAATAATTATTGTTGGGACCCCTGGTGCACGACCCCCCCGCCGCGCCTAGGCCGCAGCCTCATTTTCATCATTTTCGTGAGGAAGTCTCAGGCAAAACGGGTTGGTCCGGATCCGGTTGTGTTGTTACGATCGGTTTTCCCTTGCAAAAAACAAGCTAAAGTGGACATTTCTTGTTCTAACATAACCAAACTTCAAGAATCCCTTGCAACAGATAAGGTAAAGTGGACATTCGCGCGCGCAAGACGAAATCCTTCCAAAACCTTAGTTTTCGTAGCGATTTTAACATAAAAACATCAAAAAACCAATGGTTTTTCAAAAAAAATGTCAAAATTTCATCCCGCGCGCTCTTGCGGATTCGTAGGAAACCCAACACTTTTTAACCATTTCTGTCAAACGGGCTTTTGCGAGCAACTTTTTCGAACTTCTGCAACAACGGTTGCGCACCTGCCAGGGCCATCATCCCTGTCAAATAATACCATGCGGGACACATTCGTTTTTTCTTCGCGCGCGCACGCCGTCGTCGTCGGCCGCGGGGCCCTGAATAGTAGCCACGGTCGTCCGCATGCCACGAAGTGAAGTGTCCGAACGTCATAGGGCGGGAAGCTGGGTGTGGGTGGTGGCGAAGAGTCGTTTGGAAATTTGGTAGAGCTTGAACCGGCCCCCCCACAAAGTGGGGGTATTGCCCGCCTCCTATGAAAACCCTGGCACTGGTGAGAACGGTGTGTCCCCACGTGCTAGTAATTGTTGTTGTTGTTGTTGCGTTGTTTGTTGATTGTTGTTGCTTCTCGTCGTCCCACCCGCGACCCGTCCTCAAGGCGGCCCCAGAACGGCCCCAGAGACCTCCAAGACGGCCCAACAGCTCCCAAAGAGTGGCCCGCAACTGCCCAGAGAGAGCCCCAAGACGGCCTCCGAAGGCCAAGAGGTCCATTAGAGTCCACTAGAGGCCCCAAGATGCCCCAGGAGACCCCCAAGAGGGTCCAGGCCCCTCAGAGGCCCCTCAGACGCTCCAGAGAGGCTCTCAGGAAGCCTCCTCCTCCTCCTCTTCCTCTTCCTTCTCCTCCTCCCTCTCCTCTTCCTGTCTCGTCATCCCCAGTGTTCCCCCACGGGGTTCCACAACGGCTGGGGGAACACATAGTCCTTAGTCCAATAGCTTGGCCAGGCTTCGGTCCAACGCTTGGACACACGGGGTTTCCAAAAGGCAGGGGGCGGCTGTGATTCGCCGCAGGCGTCTTCGATGTACATGTGTGTCTGTATTTATAGATGTGTAGAGCGAGACGGCACACAACACCTCACACATACTATGTGATGTTATGGCAAGGGAGAGACAGAGCGAGAGAGAGAGAGAGAGGGCGACAGAGAGGCAGAGAGAGAACAACCTGAGCGATAGAACGGAGAGGGGGGCACCCCAAGCTAGCAAACAAAAGCGCCTCCCTCCCAAACCTTCCTCTCCTCATCACAATCCTGCTCCTGATCCAGCTCCTATTCCTGCTCCCGTTCCTGCTGCTCATGTTCGTCCTCCCGCCCTTCCTCCTGTTCCACACCCCGACCATGTACACAATTGCACATCATGAACACTACTCTCATCTCCCCCTTGACTCTGTTCGGTAAAAGACCTGCACTCTCCGCGTATTTTTTTCCCACACGCCGGCTGTCAAAACTACCCTGGCGAAGAACCCAACCATATGCAACTGTGCGTGCCGCGGGGCAGGTGAGACGAAGGAAGGGGGACCCCCCATGGGGCCACGAACCGTCGACAAAAACACATGCGGTGGGTGGGGAGCCGTATACGAATCCTGGACTTACGACCTTCGGTGGAGCGCCCTGTAGGGCCGCATGTGGGGGGCCGCACGGGAACTCTGTCATTGAGGCTTTTGGTGGAGCTCCCTAGGGGCCACGAATCGTGCGAGGGGTTGTGCCGCAATGGACATGCGGCAGGCGGGGAACCGCATGCGAATTGTGCGACTGGGGCCTTCGGTGGAGCTCCTCATGGGGCCACGAACCAGTGGGCGGGGTGTGCCGACATGGGTGGCAGGGGCGCATGCGAAGTGCCCCACTGGGGCCTTCGGTGGGGCTTCTTTGGGGCCACGAAGCCTGCCAGGGTGTGCCGAAGTGGGTCGGGCGGACGCATGGAAACCCACCACGGAGGCCCTCGGTGGAGCTCCCCATGGGGCCACGAAGCGTGTGAGGGGCGTGCCGAAACGGCGCCGGAATTGTTGTGCGGAAGGCCGAGGCAAGGATGGGAGGAGGAAGGAGGGAGGAGAAAGGAGGAGGGAAGTGAGGTGACGCGGGGCACTGTCTCTTTAAAACGAGGACCCAAGACCACAGGATAGTTGGGAAACATAATTGTCTTACATGTGTTTACGCTCGGATTGTTTTTCGGTGTTTCAGAATGATGCTCCGGGTGCATCATGCTCGGATCGGCGCTTTGCTACCGTCGTTCAGAATGGCGCCCTCGCCCCAGCGCGGGCCACTTTGAGATCTGAATGATTTTTCATCGCTGTCGCCCCCTTCCTTTCCCCCGTCTTCGCCTGGTCCTTCTGCTCCTCCCGCGCCTTCCACTCCTGCTCCTGCTGCTGCTGTTCGTCCTCGCCTTCCACTTTCCTCCTCCTCCTCCGTTTCCTTGTGCTCATCCCCCTGCTCATCTGGTATCACCTCCTCCAATGTACGCAGCTCTCTTTTTCTACGGTTGCGCATAATACGAAGGGATCCTCGTTTGAGTTCCAGGTCCGTTATGACACGCGTCGGCGTATAGAGAAAACAGCGCAATGGGAAGGTCTGGGTGGGAGGTTTATGATGTCAGATATGGCGCGAGCACGCCCGGCTTGTCAGTACTAATTACGCTTCGTTCTCCCCTGACTCTGTCCGGAAGATGTTCCGCCTGCTCCGCGTATGCTGTTCACACCAAGAATGTCAAACCTTGTTTTTCCCTGTAGGTCTTCCCACCAGAACTTACTCGGTGTTTCAAAGTCGTGTTCCGGCTGCAGCGTGGGCCTAATGTCAGGATCTGCGCTTTCATACCATCGCTCAGAATGGCACTGTCGCCCCTGGCCCAGCGCGGGACCACTTCTCTGGGCCGAGTTCTTCATCGTCGTTGTCAACCCCCTCCTTTCCCCCCTCGGACTCCTCCACCGCCACCTGGCCCTTCTGCTCCTCCCGCTCCTTCCACACCGAGACTCCAGTTCGCGCTGCCGCTGTTCGTCATCGACCTCCTTCTTCCACGTATGCCTCCTTTTCTTCATCCTGTTGTTCCTCCTGCTCAACCTCCTGCTCATCCGCCACCTCCGCCTCCAGTGTACGCAGCTCCTCTCTCCCGATTGCGCAAAAGACGATAGGGGTCCAATTTGGAGTCCCAGGTCCGCTATCACACGCGTCGGCCGGGATGGATTGGAGGGGTATGCTGTCAGATATGGCGCGAGCGCACCTAGCTTGTCCCCTCCCCCTCGTCCTCGTGCTTCCCCCATCGCTACCTTGCCCTCCACCAGTCCCCCTTTCACCCGCATTCCCATCGCCCTTCTCTCCCTCCACCTCGCCCCCTCCTCTCCACCCTCTCCCCCCCCCGAGACTGAGAAGGGGGCGGACCGAAGGGGAGGCAGGAAGGGCTGACAGGGGGGAAAGACAACGAGCAATTCTGGCATGGGACCGCGCCGCGCGCGCGAGGGGAGCCGGGCCTTCTCCCTGCCGCCCACCACCTGCCACAACACGCCCGCCCTCTGCGCCACGTCCGGCGCCGGACGGCGCCAGGGCGCTGGCGACGGCGGCGAGGCCTGCCGCGCCTCTCGCCCGGCCCTCGCGACGAGGGCCGCCTCCAGCTCGGCGGCCCTCAGCCTGCGAGCCGCGTCCCTCCTTGCGGGCCCCAAGAACAGGCACCAACACCACCACCACCTCGATCCTCTCTCCCTCCTCCGCCCTCCTCGTCCCCTCCTCCTTCCTGGGAGAGGGAGGGGGTGAAGGAGGGGGTGGTGGTGAATATTATTGGACCCCGCACTCCTCTCCCTATCCCGCCGCGCCGGCTCCCCGCCCAGGGCGTCCAACTCGGGCCGACGCGCGACGAGTTCCTGGATGTGGCGGAGCAGCTCCGCGCCCCCGCAGCGCGGGGCCCCGACCGGCGGGGGCCTCCTGTCCCGGTCGCGGCGCAGGCGCTCCAAATACTCGCTGCGGCTCACGACCTAGGGCAACGGGATCTATACAACTCCACTGCCCCAGGCCTGGCCCCTTCTGGGCCCAGGAGCGGTGTATGTGCTGCCCTGGCAAAGGCATGAGGGCGTATACACCGCTCCTGAGTCCAGGATGGGCCAGGCCTGAAACAGTGGATATGTACAGATCCCGTCGCCCCACGACCCTGGCGCCGAGGCACTCCTTGTACTTCAGGGCCTGCCCGAGGTCGATCCAGTCACACCCAATCTTGTGAAGTAGCGACGCCATCAGAACCAACTGCACATCACCAGTGCTCCTGGAAAACCGCTCACGGAATCCAGTCAAGGAAACGTAGACACTCCCGACAACACAACCGAGGTCGCCCGCCACAAGCCGGCCATCAGCGTTACTCCAGAGTTCGAAGCTGTGTGCCTCAGCACGCAGGGCATGGCCTCCTCGGCACCCTCTTGCGAACAACTCGCGGATCATCCACCGCCATCCAGGTAGCAACCACGACTCCCCATGCATCCGGACGCATCCCAGCAGTACGTCGTCAAATGCGGTATCGGCGGTCAGGGTGAAATGCTTCGCGCGCTTGCGTACCTGCCTGCTGACCGCTCGGGGGATGCCAGATCACGGACAGGGCAGACGGATGGTCAGCGACTGAGCCTCCCGGAGGGAGGCGCTTACACATCCTTCCCCTGTCTCTGATGGTCCCATGTTGCGAGCGACTGCATCGAAGACGCGGCAGTCGCATCCACATCTTTCTGAGCATGCACAGAGAGCCACCGAACCCGCGGCGCGGATGTGGACGGAAATCATCTCCCATGAGGGGTCATGCCGCTGAGCTAGACTTGGCGGCTCATTGATGGCTCATGCAGGACGGGGCGGAGGAAGAGGATAGAAGAGAGATGGGGTAGGACACCAAAGCCGAATGTATTCCAGCGGGCGCCCGGATCCCTCCACGCTACGAGGAAGAGGAGGGAGGAGGAGGAGGAGGAAAAGGAGGAGGACGAGGAGGGGATGACAGGGCCGCTCTACACGATGTGTTTTGTCAACTAGCCATCTTGTGCCATCGCCGCGACGTCTGGGAGCGAGCGGACGAGGGCACGAGAGCCCCGAAAAGATAAACATAGAGTGAGCGAACGAAGAACATTGTGAAAACAAGCGCCCTTCAGGAGCCGAGGCATTGGGCTGGCGCAGGGAGGCGAGTGAGGCTTGAGTCGCAATGGTTGCGGACCCGCCCCCCCTCCTTCACGTGCACGCACCCCCAGGAGGGGATGACAGGGCCGCTCTACACGATGTGTTTTGTCAACTAGCCATCTTGTGCCATCGCCGCGACTGGGAGCGAGCGGACGAGGGCACGAGAGCCCCGAAATGATAAACATAGACTGAGCGAGCGAAAAACATTGTGAAAACAAGCACCCCCAACCTCCCGATCCGAAGGTAGAGTGAAGTTATCAAATGCTATACTCACTGCGGGCTTTCGAGACCCAGACGGATGCCAGCACGTGGGCCAGGCGAGCGGGGCACGGCATTGCCAGCACCGTCCAGCGAATTTATTTAGGCCCCCCGCCTTCCAGGTGTTGGTGTGGGCGTCCCGTGCGGCTGCAGACTCCACGCCCCGAGCAAACCCGATTAAGCTTTACAAGGTCGTCGGGGCAAACATTACCTACCAAAAAACGAATCCTCTTTCGCCACGGTTTCCCCCATTGACAGAAATCAATTATAACTTGAGCGGCCCCACTTCGTGCAACAAGAACTTTGAGCTTGTGGTCGTGCCACATCTTAGATGTATGCGGGTTCACCAGAACCCAGGGGACCCCGGCAGATTGGGCAGCACGGGCCAGGTCAAGAGCAGCGTCCAGCGTGGCATTACCGAGATCGACCTTGGCCACATCGCTGGCCTGTAGACCCGGGGTCCCCCTGGTAAACTTCCTAGACCGAATTGGAGATGTACGATCTCGAGCAGCCGACCACGAGCTGCAGGGGGGGGCAAGCACCAGGCCAATACATCGGCCGTTGGCGAGGTCTTGCTTTATGGGTCTTCGGACCGCAGGGCAAAAGAGGCCCCCCGCGGCGCCGTGGAAAAGGTCCCACTCCCGAGCACTGAAACCGGCCAACCGAATTTTCTTGCTCACCACCCCGCAGCCCGAAAAACAATCTGCTACATATGTCTTACTCACTCATGCTGGGGACCGAGGTTGAGCGAGCTTCACCTGCCGGGGCACACACCCGCGCGCAGTGACTCGCAGCATACGCAGTGGCTTCGCGCGCGGGCGTCCTGCTCGCCGAACTCCGGCCTCACTCGCGCGTCCTTCTCGTACCTGGTGGCCGACTTGAACTTCCGCCCTTGGCCTCGCATCATCACCTCTGGGAGGCCCGGTAGCTGCCGCAGCCTGTCGTGCGAAGCTTCGTCGTGACGATGCTGGTAGGGAACTAGCTTCCAGCCCCGCGTGGCACTGACAGTCTGCACGTCGGCCGACAGGTCCTGGTAGCTGAACGGGCAGACCCGCTGCGTCGCTGGCGTGGCGCTGAGCTCCCGCCACACCACGTCCAGCCACTTCGGCTCCGTCGTGCCTAGCTGGAGGCCGTCGTTGACCGCGCCCACCTTGGTCGGGATGCCCAGCTCCTCTGGCGCCAGCAGCCGGCTCCAGTGGCGGGACACGCCCCCCACCGACGCCACAAAGTGCCCGCCCTTCGCGCCGGGCAGCTCGGACGGCCTCAGGTAGCACAGGAGGCGCGGGAGCGAGAGCTGGCCAACCTTCCCAGACCCCAGGAGGACGTGCAGGACACCAGCCAGCAGCCTCTCTCCCACCTTCGCCTGTTGCCCGGACAGGAACAGCTCTGCCTTGAGGACGCACAGCGACCCATCCAGCTGGTTCGGCGGGGGGGGGGGTCAGCCGCTTCTGCTTCGCCCAGTATGCGAACCTCGAGACCAGGAGGTAGTGGTACTCCCTGCGACTGCGCGACCTCCGACTCGCGCAGGGCGTCCAGCTGGCCCATGGCGCGCCGGGCGCCCATCAGGTACTTGGAGCGCCCCCGCCCGCATCTCGCGACGGCGTCCAGGTCGTTGCTGTCCGCGCTCTCCGCGGCCACTGCCACCTCGCCGCGGCCCTGGCCGACGCCGGCCTCCGCGCGCGCGGCGACGAACAGGGGCCCTGTCACGACCACCTCCACCGACAGGCCCCCCAGCTTCGGCACCAGCCACTGGCGCAGCAGCAGGAGGGGGCAGGAGGGGGGCCGATATGCCCAGCGCCCGCCGGCCGACAGCCTGGCTCTGCCCAGCCGCAGGCGGCGGCCCGTGCGCAGGCGGGCGCAGCTGCGCGCGCCTCCGCGGGCGGCTCGCCGTCGGCGGCAGCCACTCCAGAGTGGGCGCGGACCCGGCCGCCGCTGGCCTGGGCGGCCCCCAGGCGGGCGGTCCGCTTGGCCGCGGCCCTCTACCTGGCAGTGGCTGCGCTGCGGCCCCGGCTCGCCCCCATCTCTGGAAGGCGCGTCCGCCGGGTTGAACTCAGACTTGATCCAGCGGAAATAAGGACGGATGTTGTGAATAAGACAGAGAGCACGAAAACGTCGGATCTGCTGTAGCACCACATAGTTCTTGCACCTACCCCGAGCGAGCGAGAGAACGATGGCCATATTGTCCACCAGGAACAAGTTACGACTACTTGCGATCCCCTCGGCGATTAGGCTCTCGGGCTTCTAACTCCAGGATGCGTTCTCCGAACTTCCACTTGCCCTTTCCAGTAACTCTCTAAGGTGATATCAAATCGTCCTCAGTGATGTAGTCCCGGGCTGAGCAGAGACCCCCCTCCCCGAACGGCACCTCCGGGAACGAGCTGTCGACCGCCCACTCCTCCTCCCCCGACGACATGGGCAAGGCCTCTCCGATGTCGGTGATGTTGGCTGTGTCTATGAATGGCGGCGGATGATGAGTTTCGTCAGCGTCACGTGATGGATATAGTGCTGCGCTTGCAGCGGCGCGAGCTCCAAGGCTATATATACGACGGAAACGCGAAACCTCTGGGACGCGAGCGACGCTAGCCACAGCATCGGCCGTCAGCACACAGCGGCAGTGCCCCCATCCCTCGAGAGAGGCATCGGTGGCCACCACCGTCCCGCACCAGGGCAAGTCCCATGGTGCGCGAACCAACGGCAGTAGCCCGATGAACGCCTGGAGCTCCTGCCTCGCAGTCGGCCACGCGACGGCCATGCTGTCGCCATACCGATGTATGAAGGCGTAGCAGGCGTTGAAAACGCTCAGTGCCGTGCGGCCCAGCAGGCTCACGAATGTGGCGTGGCCGACGAGCCTCTCCAGCTGCTTGCCACTGAGGCGGCGGCGCCGAAGGGCCCAGCGGAAGGCGCCATCACTGCGCCACCTCCGCTTCTCGGTCACCCGCGTCCCGAGCTGCCGGCCGCCCAGCAGGCGCCCCAGCGTCTCGCCTCCTCCTGCCATCAGCTCGCGCTCGTGCGTCTTGAGCCCGACCGCCCCCAAGGCCGCGCAGCCAGCGCCGAGCGCCAGCTGTGCCGGAGGCTCGGCCCCTACGAACACGCCCAGGTTGTCGACGCACAGGGCGTACTGCACCTCCCCGCCCTTCCGCAGAACGATCGGCTCGGCGTGGTCCGTGATCCAACTGCTGGGCCGGAGCTGCGCGACCCTGTCCAGCGCCGCCTCGCAGCAGCGCTGGGCGACCCACAAGGACCATGTGAACCCCATGGGGAACGAAGCCAAGCACGGGTACATGGGGGCGCCCCACCCCACGGTGTCCCGCAGCTCGGTGTACTTGGCGGGGATAGGCCGCAGAGCGAAGCACCGCTGCATACCGTCGGGCAGCCGCAGCCGGTGGAAGCAGTTCTCCACGCCCCCCACCCCCAGCGTGAAGCCGCACTCCGGGTCGCCGACGAACCCGGGCTCGCACTCTATCCTGGACAAACCCTCGCTCGTGATCAGATCGGTGTGCGGAGGAGTCTTGAAGCGACGATCCCCCCTTCTCGCGTCAATGATGAGCCTCAGAGACTTATCCTTCTAGCCGACGAAGAAAAGGCCAGCGTGCTCGATGGGATCAGTGGTCCACTTGATCATGCCCCGCCGGTCGAGGTCAAGGATGAACTGACGGTAGGCCTTCTGGTTCCGTGACAGCTTCTTGTCCCAGAACGGTTTGATATCACCCAGCCTCTCGTTGATCTGTCGCAGCTCATCAGGAGACCGCGTAATGCTCTGTTGCCAAACCTCGATAATCAGGCGGTCCTCAGCATCCAGCACCGCCGCCACGTCGGCTGCATCGCGGGCGTGCTCGGGGAGCGAGACGGAACCAAACTCGGGTGGCATGGGTCTCCTCGGCGTCGTAGCTGAGGTGACCGCGGAGAAGCACACCAGCGGCTTCTCCCTGGGAAGGCGCTGTCGCTGGCTTCGCAACGACAGGGGCGACAAGGGCCGCCGCGGCCTCCATGTCAAATTCAGAGGCGCCTGAGCACGCCGAAGTCCGCGCACCCAAGCACCAATGGATCGCATCCACGGTCTCGTTCTT